CCAAGAACACAGTCCGGAACTGTCAGGACCTCATCGCTTTAGCGGCCGCAACTGTCATGGCAGGAACTGGCGATCTCGACGTCTTCCGTCGCTTGCGCGGTCTCCATGGCCGCATTGGACCGGACATTCCCTACGGCTCTCATCTCGCAGCTCATATGGCCTTCGGCACTTTGTTCATCGCGGGTGGTACCCAGACTTTCAGTCGCAGCAACAAAGCCATTGCCAGTCTGATCTGCGCATTCTACCCCCTGTTTCCCTCCGACGTACAAGATTCAAGGGCGCACCTGCAGGCTTTCCGTCACTTCTGGGTACTTGCTGCCGAGCCGAGATGTCTCGTTGTGCGAGACGTAGACACCGGTCGTGCCATATCCATGCCTATAACCGTCGTCTTCAAGAACAACCAAGAAGGAAACCAGGAGCCAGAAACAAAGACATTAGTAGCGCCGTGCCTTCTCCCGGAGATCCATCTGATAAGTCGCCTCGAAACGGCAGACCAAACATACTGGCCCACGACCTTGGACTTTGTACACAACCCACTCCACCTCAGATCCTTCGAGCGCAACCAGACACTGAACGTTCGCCGTCGTTCTGCCCATGATACATACGCCACAGCCTTTAGTTCTACCCTCGTCGCCCTGAACGATGCCCAATCATCAAAGACCGCAAACCTCCTCTTCCACTGGATCTTCACCCTCCCCGCGCTATCGCGATTCATATCTGCCAGCGACGCAGGACTCATACTACCACTGGATCAACACAGTAAGAGCTGGTTGGATCCCGGGGCTACAGTTGTCGAATCGAGATTGGTGCTGGGTAGGCTGGCGAAGAGCTGGAAAGTTGAAGAGCTGAGGGAGTTGAAGGGCGTGTTTGAGTGGGCGGATGCGGCGTGTCGGCAAAATGGGAAGTTGAGGTGGTTGGGTAGGGAGGTCGTGGAGAGGATAAAGGCGGGGGTTATGGATCGGGGGAGGGGGATGGGCGGGTAGGAGGGGATGTGTGAGATGAGGGTATCTGCCGTATAAGGTTCTGTAGAGAGGAGTATGTAAGTGCACGAAGTAGCATTCCAAATTCGCATGATTCAAAAGTAATAAAGGATACTACAGGTGTTCTGCTTGATTTGAGAACTCCATATCTATGATATGAATGCATGCGCGTTTAAACGTATCGTCTACCGTCTAACCATCTAACCATCATATATACATGCGTCGCAACATTGAACGTATATAAAGCATGACATCAATCACGACTCTATTTCCCCCTCGCCTCCCTAATCCCCCATTTCCCCACCTCGGCCATAGCCTCCTCACCTCCCTTAGCTAACCTCTCATCCTTGAGCACACCCGCCAAGCACTGCCAGCCATCTCTACCTCCACCCCACTTGAGCACCTCATTCTTATATAACTCACCATTCTCCCTATCCAAACTACCTTCCTGGCCATTATGCTGAAACACGTCTTTCCAAATCTTCGCCGCTAGCGCACGGTCAAAGAGGTAAGAATAATACGTAGCCCCGTATCCAAACAAGTGGCCGAAGAAGCCTTGCCAAGCCGTACCAGCAGGTTCAGGAACAGAAGCGTATTTATTGTAAACGTCGTGATAAACTTTCGTAGAGTTGAAGTTGGGGTCTGCGGCAATGGGGGAATGATACACTTGATCGAGCATGCAGAGCAGAATCTGGCTCTCGAGTTCAGAGTACTGGTTCCGGTTATCGATTGCAAGCCGGGCTTCGACCGCGGCCATTGGGACGGGCGCATCAGTTTCCCAATGGCGCGCGTAGAGACCCAGGACGTGGGGGCAGAAGGCGAAGTGTTCCATTAGGACCGAGGGTAGCTCGGCGATGTCGGTTGCGCAGCGGGTGCCAGAGACATTTTGTAGGGCCGTGCGACCGAGGATGGAGTGGAGAGCGTGGCCCATTTCGTGGAAGAGGGTGCGGACGTCGTGGATGTTGAGGAGGGTGGGGCGAGAGGAAGAGGCTTTGCTAAAGTCGCAGATTAGTGCTATGGTGGGGAGTTGGAAGTAGCTGTTTCGTGAGGCGTTGTAGGATACGGGCATGCCGTCTGTGGCGGCCTCGATGGGGGAAGAGAAGCGGTGCGGCATGTGGGCCATTTCTTCCATTTCTGAAGGGAGGATTTCGCGACTGCAGCGGAGGGTGAAGTGCGCTGGATTGGGTGTCTTGCCGGGCCGTGAGTACAAGTCACAGTAGAGCACTGCAATGTGACCTTCGGTGTCTGAGATGACGTCTAATCGGCGAACGCCATCGTCCCATACCTCCCCTGGTTGCGTCTCTTTGGGAACGAATCGGACGCCATATAGACGGTTGAAGAGTCGCGATATACCCTGTAGTACAGTACCAACGGAGAAGTATGCAGATAAAGAGTCGGGCGTTCGCTGCCTGTAGTGACTCTCCATAGAGGCTAGCATCTTCTGTGTGTAATAGAATTTATCCCAAGCGTTGATGCGATCGGGGAAGTTGTCCTGATGGGCATCGCCTCTCTTCAACTCCATCAACTCTTCTAGATCAGCAAGAACAGCCGGCCGGCTGTCCTCATAGAGGGCCTTTAAGAATGTGTTGACAGCTTCCGGTGTTCGCGCCATCTTGTTCTCTAGCGTCATGTGTGCAAATGTCTCGTAGCCTGAGGTTTGCGCCAATTCCACTCGCAGTTTCAATAGCTTTTCTAATCTCGCGATGCTTGGTTTGTTGGCTGTCCGGACAGCCTGGTACGTCTCTTGCCGTACGTCTGCATCGTCTACGAATCGTAAAACCGCTTGCGATTCGGAATGCATGGTAGAGATCTTGGTCTCACCCCATTTCGTCAGTGCCTTCGCGAGGTTTGGGTCCAGCCCTCTCAGCTTCGACGACTTGAATCTCAAGTCCCGTTTCTCTGGCGCCATGCCTTCCACAAACTCGTTCCCTACGTCTGCAATCTCGCCGCTGAGATCTACCAGCCGCTCCCTTGTCTTGTCGTCTAGACCGATGCCGAATCTTGAAAAGTCCTCCATCAATATCCTAGCAACGATGCGCTCCTCCTCGCTCCATGTGTCGTACACCTCGGATATCTCCGACGCCTTCTTCAGCTGGTCGTGCAGTACCGGCGTGGTGTTCAGCTGGTTCATGTACTGGAACACCGTCTGGTAGGCTTTCATGGCCATCATCTGAAACTTGCGATCCGGATGCGTGCCTCTTACAAAGTCGGCCAAGTCTATCACCCGACATAGTAGATCGCTGAGCTTATCCAGGTCTTTGACGATGTGCTTGAAGTCCTCCGTCGACTGCGCGGCCGCCACCTTCTGCACCACGGCATTGCAGCGTTGTATCGTTACGGTAACGAAGTCGACAAAACCCTGGGGATGGGTAAGGTATTGGTTCCCTATTATTCCCGTGGGTTTTCCCTTTTGCGATGCGCGCTTGAAGTCATTCCAGAAAGATGCATTGTCGAAGACTTTGCGCAGGGCGTCGTCATCTGTCTTGCCGCTGGCAGACAGGCCGTAGAGAGCGTTGGGCGGCGCAGTGTCGCGTGCTTTGGCGGCGGCAGCCAAGGTGGAGTTGAAGCGTCGTTGGCGTTGGGAGGAGCGCAGGCATTGTTGGCAGACCCATGGCGACTGCTTTGGGCGAGCGAGGCGCTTGAGCATATTGGGTTGCACGGGTGAAGGGTGGGCTGGCAGAAGTCGGACGAGACGAACGATGTCATAGCTAAGCCGAGGATGGGCGGGAATCTTGCGGCGCTCGCACGGCCGTTTCCGCGTCTTCTGAGCTCAACATCACCAGTTGGACATTACCAAACCCGACCCATTGCGCCTGCCCCACGCTCGACATGGCTTTCAGACCGCTGTTACGGCAGGTGAGTAGCCCGGAAAAGATGGATGACTGTGTATTGACATCGCATAGCGCGCCGCTGTCCCCGCCATGGCCGCCCTCTCCGCCGCAGCAATCTTCGCACCCCGGACCGTATACGCAGAGGAGCGACCTGCCGACCACTTTGTACGTTGCAATGCCCTCAAACGCTCGACGAAGCTTTTTTGGGCCCTTTATTCCCCCTTTTAACCGCAATACTAACGTCAAAGTAGAACCGCAAACCTATCTACGATGATATGCCCGTCGATACCACAGCGCCTACCGCTCCCGCCCTAACAGAACCGTCGAACTCTTTGGCTCCAGAGTCTAGCTACCGACCGACACCAACCGACCGCCTCGCAGTCCAGATCGGCCGTGCGCGCATGGCTCTATACGAGCAGGCTGTCCGCGGCGAGAAGGCCGTCGATAACGCGCTCACAGAGACGCTTCGTCTCGAGCACTCCTTCACAAGCACCATCCGCTCATTAGCCCCACCAAGGGAGTCCGGCGAGAAGGTCCTCCCAGGCGCACTCTACGTCCTCGTCTCCTCCATGGCCGGTTCCATCGTCACGCGCAACCGCAACATCCTCCTTCGAACCTCCGTCCCCGTCGCTGTCGGCATCACCGCCGCGAAGTTCGTGCTGCCCATCACCACCAAGAACGTCGGAGACCTCATCTGGACCTACGAAGAGAAATACCCCGTGCTAGCGGATACCCACCTGAGGATGAAGAACAGGATCTCGCAATTCATCGAGACTGGAAAGGCACATGCGCAGGGAACTGTTGGTATGGTCGAGGGCAAGCTGGCTGACACACGCGAGAATTTGGAAGGATGGGTCAAGAAGGGCCGGTAAATAATACCTTATCAAAAGCTTCCATGGCACGAGTACCTGTACATTATTAGTAGCGGGGCATAGGTGGGAAGAACATCTTCACGCAATGTGATTTGCATTTTCTTTTGTTCTGCCCCCTATTTATCTCCCATGCAGTTGATTTGCCCAACCTGAGGACAGTGCCGTCTCCTGAATCCTTCCAGCACGATCATATCATGGCCACGTCCGTCCAGCAACTGCTTCCGTATATCGCGTACCTTTCGGCCAGTCTCATATTCCTTCCACCGTGTTTTGTGTTTCGTAGATACCATTGGCATGACCAACCGGCCGCAAATAACTCAGTCTTCAGAGACCTCCTGCTCTTCCTCGCTGAGCGACAGGTGCTCAGCCAGAGTTTCATCCATGTCCACTCCTTCGGCCGGCCGAGTTGATAGCAACTTCTGTGTGAGATCGAGAAGGAATTGCACTGGTAATTCCGAAGTCAGCTTCACCAGGCTTGGTCTGGCAGCGCATAGGTGAACCAGAAACTTGCGCCTTCTCAATTCCAGTCGCTTTGTGCCTTCGTACCAGTCGACAATTCTCTGACAAGGAAATGTCGCCTGAGAGGCTGAGGAGAGCTCGATAGTGGCCCGACCGGCAGCTAAGAGGTAATCAGAATCTTCGAAAGATAGTGCCAGCGTCCAGGCGCTGAGGAGGTCCGCTATTGAATCTTTCTTCGACGTGATATCACCAGTGTATAACCACTGTATGTATCGGTTGAAGTGGAGGTCAGGCCATCGCTGACCCCGACTTATCACTTTTGTTCGCTGAAGTGGCAGTGGCCAGTCCAAGCGGCATAGCGGACACGTTCGTTCCCGCTGTAACCAGTCATCGATGCATTTGGTGTGGAAGTTCTGACCACATCCCTTACAGTACGATATCTGTGTGAAGCCGGCGACATCCTCGGTACAGACTGAGCAGTCGCCTTCAACGGGTTTGCGAGACTTTTGCAACTTGCTCTTGAAATATTTCGAACTCGAGCAGAGCAGGTCCTCGTGAACTGCAAAGATGGTCTTCTCCTTGCCGAACTGAACATCCGCGAGCTTGTGCCCGAGACTGGAGCATGGGTCAGTACAAAGCCGGATATTAGGAGCAGCATTAATCTCACCGTTTAGCTTTTCGTGCGCCTTTTCTTGCCGCGCTCTGAGTTCGCGATATCGTCATCTTGATGTCCCGATTGCCGATTTCGCTGAATTGTTAGTCGATAGTCTTGACTTCTTGAGGGTCATTTAGGTGTCAAGGTCTTTGACTAGTTGCCATTCGTCATATATACTAGCACACGCTTTTAGTGTCACTTTACTTAGGGTGAGGTTATTGCGGAAAGTCATGACACGGGAATAGGTAAAGGTGACTTAGGTGAGAAATCTCTTCTAGTAAAATAGTCGTCGCTGCGGTTTTGGACAGCATTCAGTATTCCGTAGTGACGGTTTCGTTGTCTTGAATTCCGCCTGAGATGCGACGACATTGGAGAATATACTAGGGTAGTCATGTCTCAGACCACGCGGCTTCCCATTTTGAGAGTGGAAAGAGCCAATCTCGCCTTGCACTTGCAGGGTAAGAGCGACAGCGCAACAACGCTCTCCAGACAGCAGTCACAATTACCTGTCTGCTACCGCACACGTCTACCTCCTCTTCACTGCGAACGAGTCCCTTTCCTTAAAGGCGCTTACCAGATTCGCGAGAGCCATCTATAAGCGACTTACCAGTGACGTTAAGCACTGAAAATGCGTCACTCTTACTCGATATAAACAAGTCAACATCGCCCACATCTGATAGAAAGCTCATAGCATCTCCGCCAAGCGCGCTACTTACGACCCTACACCACAGACTACCATGTCTGGCCTACTTGTTCAAGATACACATGCATGACAGCTCAGCGCTTTGATGCATGGTCGCCGAACGGTGAATGGCATAACAGGGGACGCCGTTGGATGATGCTAGGCAGAACGCTTTCAAAGCCCGCAACGACTGCCACATACTACGCACCCCCACAATATGCGCATTACGGTTTGAGTGGTTCGTACGAAAGCGGTCGTCTCCTTGCTGATTCTTGTATCCACCACCACACCTATCTGCGACTCCAACAGACATGGTGATTGCATTGCATGCTGACCAGGCCTCTCTTGTGAAGGTGGCAGAATTCCAATACCTCGGCGATTTCTCCTTGCAGCAAGTATCCCGACATGATGCACTTCTCAACAGCCAGACCTTGCATATACATCGCTGGGATACTAGTGAGGCTCGGCACGGATTCTGTCAGCTTTGCGAACGTTTCTCCCCAACGGTCCAACGGTCCAGGCCGCAGTGGCAGGTAAACCGCCAGTTTGGTCAGAATGGCATGATTTGACACGGCCTTCCCCGGATCCGATACATTGGTTGATGCGCCCGACGCATTCCTTCCAATGCAGCTCACGCGGCCAAGGCGCCGGAAACGCCGAGCTACGAGTGGCTGAACCAGACGAAGACGAAAACCATAGTAGAGACAATGGCAGGGAATCATTTGGAATTCCGATAGCCGCAGGTTGGAAGCCGTTTGGGAAAGTCCTTTGTGTACGCTAGAGAACTGTGCCTCAAACACACAGCAGAGCAAGGCAGATCAGGTCTCATTCCCAGAACTGGGTCCGAGGCCGGGGCTTAGGTCGTGTTAGCGCCCGAGAAGCAAAGGAAGGAGACAACAATGGTGGCATTGAGACATTGACGGGCGTGTTGATGGTGTGCACCCGGGAGATGGTCGGTGAGCTGGTGGCCCAATCTCTCGGAAGGAGTGACGCATGTCCAAAGCCACGCACTCGGTACTGGCAGGATGAGGCGTAAAGCTGTCGGTGTCATTCGACACGCTGGTCGTGGCTGTGGGTCTTTGCAACAGCTGGCAGCAGACAGGGCGGTCGAGGTTGCGAGGACTGCGGGGTTGACTGGCCCCCTAGCGCTCCCGTCGGCGCTTTCGCTGTCGGCGCGCCCTCCAAGGCCAGGGCCTTGGGAACGACATTATCCATTCCGCTGGGTTTCGCCTCTTCCTCGACACGACTCGGGGCGAGTCCTGTAGCGCACCGTAGCGCATCCCCAAGACATCATGGCCACCTCTGCGACTGACCGTGTGCGCAAGACCAAGCTGCGCCCGCTGTCCAGTGCCACCAATCTCACCGACTTCACACACTCGACGGCCGACCCAGCTGATGTATGCCGCCTGCTCTCCCCACTACATGCGTACCGAGCACTCCAAACTAATCGCGATATGTAGTCGGATGCACCGTCAGATGGAGAACTCAACGACTTGTAACTCTCCTCCCCTCCTCTCGTATACTCCATGCGCTTACACATCGCAGCGAGGTGCAAAGCCTCACGCCAAGCATGTATGGCGTCGAGAAGAAGTACGGCCGAACTTACCATGGCTTCCATGCTGGAGGTACGCATACCTACCAAACGGCTTTTCGCCTGACTTTAGCTAATTGACTCCAGCCTACCCATTTCCCAACGACGAGGTACGCGCTGCTAGAACCCATATTCGCCCATCGCCCTTTCGCTGACTCGCATATTTTACAGCTCGAAATATATCGCCTGGAATGGGAGCATCATATCATAACAGGACTGCTACAAGGCAAACACTACTTCGCGCCGCTGAACACAAAGAGATCGTCGAGGATGCTGGACATTGGTTGCGGCACCGGACAATGGTGCATCGCGATGGGTAAGTGTCGTCTCTGTCGCTCCTTGTGGAAACACGACTGACAAGTACTAGCAAAAAAGGCTCCGAAACACTGGCGGGTACGCGATGCAATGCTCTTTTCGTGGCCATGCTAACCAGGCATCAGGTTGAAGGCATCGACTTATCCGCGATCCAACCCAAGAAAGACAGACTGCCCAACAACGTCGACTTCTGGCTGGACAACATCCTCAAGACATCATGGTGGTTCCCCGAAAAGCAACCCTACACCTACGACTACGTTCACACACGCTTCATGCACGGCATCTTCACAGACTTCCGAGAAATCATACAAAAGGGCTTCAACAATCTGAAACCAGGTGGATGGATGGAGTCGCAGGAGATATTTTCCAAACTCCAGTGTGCCGAAGGCATGCCGGAAAGTTACCCGCTGCTTGAATGGTCAAATCTGCAGGACGAGGCCGCGCACAACCTGGGCCGGCCGTTGCGCATCGCGGACAAACTAAAGAGGTGGTACCGAGAGGCTGGATTCGTGGATGTGCACGAGGAGGTCTTCGCTTTGCCCGTGAATCCATGGCCGAAAGAGAACAAGTCGAACATGTACGGCAAGTTCTGCATGTGGAATATGCTCGTTGGTCTGCACGGATGGACGATTGAATACTTTGTCACCGGTCTGGGCTGGACATCAGCCGAGGTCGAAGTCTACCTCGCGCATGTAAGGAACTCGCTCGCAGACGAGAGTGTGCACGCCTACTACAACTTGTAAGTCGCATGCCCAATCAGACATGAGATGAAGAGACGCAAAGTAACAATCACTAGCTACGTAGTATGGGGTCGCAAACCTAACGACGGCGAAGCCGGCAGCACAATACCCAAACCCGACCACTGGCCGCAGCCTCCCTCTGACGACGACGAATCCACCTTCTCATCGGGAATCTTATAATACACATTTGGAACAGCCAGTATTAGCTGGCACATATGCATATGATTGAGCTTTTGGCGTTGTTCATTGATAGGTGTTCTTGGGGGTGAGCCTTCTGTCCTTTTACATGGATTGCAAGGAGGTAATTTGTTGTTGTTGTTGTTCTTTGCATAGTTTATCGGCGGCTTGTGTCGATTGAAAAAGCCTTGAGCGGTGGTTGTGATCCTGTTGCTTGAGGGTCTGCGATTTACGATGTATGAGATTTGGACTTCCTATGGTGTTTGGATGAGGAGGTTAGTTGTTAATGTCATTCGGTTCGTTGCTATCTCAGGTCTGTGAACACAAAGATGAGTCACTATGGTATGTATAGGGAGTTTGTCTTCGTCATACGTGATGGAAGTCATCGTTCTCACGTTCCGTTGACAGTGTCTGCAGCGATAAGTTCGAGAACATCCTGGTCGACCACCTCAACTCCTGCCACATAATTGAGCTCTTCAGATCTTCCGAGCATTTTTGCTCTTCTCCCAGCCTTGGCTTCAGTTGGCTCAAACTAGCAAAAGGTGACTGGTGCCTCGATAGTGGATCAATCCATCTTCTCCATGTAGTTGCTCTTGTTTGGTAACTTATCCACCCCCGATTTGTATTTCGAGATTTCGGATGAGAGCGCGACGGCGAGTTCAACAAGAAACTCTTTGGGAAGTTCAGTCGCGCCGTCGGAAATGTGCTCAGTATCGATTGTTGTCCAGATATCGACCACAAGGCGACGGCCAAGACTACCTGAACACGTGCCGTGGTACATGTCGTAGACAGCGTTGTTCCGGGGGACATACATACGACCTTCTGTGTCTTGTTCTTGGCTGACTACTAGCAGGGCTTGAAGGGCAGAGTTCTTCGCTGCCTTATCTTGAAGCTTCTCGCCAAGGACGTAGAGCTTGCAGAGTTTGTCTAATTCGTCGCCTATTGTGTCTTCTGTCCTCTTCTCGTCGGTGTTCTTGGTGAGTAGAAGGCCAGTGTATACAAGATTGATGTAGACTTCGAAAGCAGCTGGATCGTCCTCCGGCAGCCTGACGATGCGCTCTTTGCTCTCAGTCCAGTTCCCGTTCATGGCGCGTCGGAAGAACTCAGAGCGTTCGCAGATGTATGTCTTATGGATTAAGAACTGGCGTTGATCTGGGTCTTCACCCACAATGATCGTGATGAATTGGGACGGGTCAAAGCTGCCATAATCAGCTCATGATGTGAGAGCTTCTGATCATGAGTACTCACTTGACCATGCTCTTTGAGTCTCCGCGAAGGGTCTTTCGAGGCGCCATGGTCGCCGTTAGTGGTGGACGGTAAAGGTGGTTGGAGGGCGTTGACGGAAATGAAGGTCGCAACTTGCGATAGGCTGGTGAGGAGAAAAAGGTTTTGTCAAGGTAAAGTTGAAGAAAAAGACTCGAAGCGCTATGTATCGTTGTCTGATCCTGGCATGGTGAGTGGTGAATTCGAGCGTTCTCAACAGACCGCACGTGCGGTGAGAGACCGCCTACATTTAGCCATGGGTGAGGGCGCGGTCAAACGAAGTACTAAAATCCGGATGAGAACATAAAAAGAATAAACTATGACGTCTTTATATATGAGTTGAGCTGCTGCCGCATTTACTCGAAACATGTGATCGAACGTGGCCGCTTCACTATCCTATCACACAGTCAGATGGCATTGAAACTGAAGTGTCTACTACGTTGTGATGTAAGAGCAAGGGAAATACGTAGTCGAGATACGAGTACATAGTAATGAGACTGAGGGTTCGTAGACTTTGCAGGGTATCAATACCTATTGGATCGAAAGATGAGCGGACGTTGTGTCTTGCAAGCTCTGTATATTTGCCATGCTCTCTGACTGGATGCCCACGTTCCGTGTCTCATTGCGTTCAATCCACTGTCGTAAGGCTCTTATCGAAGATTCACAGACCAGGTCGTTCCTTCCGCAGACCGCCAACTCCACAGCCGTATAGTGGAAGTCGGTACATAGCTATAGCGGAATACTCAAAGCTTCTCTTGATATGAAGTGTAACCCTTTCTGTTTGCTAAATTCCCAATGTGCGCTGTTCGCTCACCATGAAGTGAGTAGGCGAGATCGACGAGGAAGTCCCTGCAAAGACCTTCGCTTTTATCAAGAATCCATTTCGTGCCGACATCATTCCACAGGTCAACCATGAGGCGTCTTCCAAGGCTGTCTTTCGAAGTGTTCTTGTACATGAATTCGACGATCTCGGTACTGGGTAATCTGTTGGCGGCAAACGACATGACTCTCATCTCGGTACGAACGGTCTCCAAAGCGGAATTCTTGGCTTGCGTATCTTGCAGCTTCTGAGCGAGGATGTAGAACTTGACATTTTCCAGAGTATGTGCTTGGAATTCGACAGGTGTCGTCTTTTGATATTCTGTTCCGGTGTACATCGTACCCATATAGATGAGATTAACGTAGAGAGCGAATATCTTGGGGTCGTCTTCAGGTAGTTTGACAAGCCGATCCTTCTTCTCAGACCAGTTGCCACTCATCGCGCGGCGGAAGAACTCGGAGCGTCCGGCCAGTATGCCTTCGTGGAGTAGGAAGTCTTCCTGAGAACCTTCAGGACCGACGCGCACAGTCAAGAAGGAAGCCGGATTGAACCTAGATTGAACATGTCAGAATCGGCGGTAGACGGTCGCAAAAGGTGACTTACCTCATAGTGCTGTCTCTAGCAGCTTGTGCAGCGGTTTGTGACTCCATCGTGAGCACTATCGTCCTGGAGGGTGTTATGGGGAGGGGTGAGGAAGAGATTGTCAAGAATTTGCAGCTATACGAGATGTTGGTCTGCAACTTGGCTGTAGGCAGATCCGCGTCTATGGCAAGCCGCAATCAAGGTGAAAGCCGAAGTGCAGGACTAGTGCTGTGATTGGTGTAGCGGCTTATGAGGATGAAGTGAGAGAACCCGCAATGATGGCGACGGAAGCGGTCGAGAAAAGGAATTTCTTCTGATACCACTAGATCGTAAGGCAAGGCGGAAGCAAAGGACGTTAGCATGGTGTAGTATTAGGATGCGGATACTGGGCAAAGGACAAGCACGTGCCATGAGTCTAGTCGCGACTTCCTGAACATGTAGCCACATATCTTGTCATCATGGTACCTGCCTCTAACGGAAAGACCACTTACCTGGGTGCACCTTGGCCAATGGAAACTTTACCTTACTAACCTCACTATGTTGGACCTGTTCCTGACCGCTCATGCTCGCTTGCGTGTACTTTTGCCGTGTTGTCATCACCATTTGAGACCCGACTACACTCCTCAATCAGCATCCAGATGTTAGCAGAACCCCAAACAGTCCAGATACAGGCACAACCTCTTCGTGCACGCCAGACCGGCTCTGGGACTCACCTTCACCTCGCCCTCTACCTAGCCTGCCGTCTGCCTAGCTCCGCCACCCTGCATGCAAGCCCTCTCACCTGAGCCCACCCATTATGACCACCCGCAAGACCCACCTTTACTTGAAGATATAAATCCCAACATTACCCCATCCACCATCAACTCTCCTCCACTTGGCGGACTCGGGTGGGCTCCTGACGGTTACATAGAGTGCATTGCACGGATTAGAAAAACCTAGAGAAAAAACAGACAACATGTCCATCAAAACCAAAAGTGACTCTGGTAATGGGAAAAAACACATAAGAGAAGGATTTGTCACACAAAGGGCTGAACTCAGGAGGGCGCGCCGTTCGATTCGGAGTGGGCGTCGGTCAGCAGATGCTGGGTGGGGGTTGAGTTGATTCTTTTTTGCCCTCTTTTTTTTTGGTTCTAGGATTTAGGTGAAGGTGAGGATGGCATGTGAGAGCGGGTGACGTATGTCTCTTTTAGAACAACAACACGCGACCACAACAAAGACAATCCAGGAAAGGCAGAACACACGCATAACTAAGAAGAGATAGAGACATAAGACAGGTATAGATGACTTAAAGTTTCATGTTACTCTTCTACTTTTACCGTTGAGTATGTCCTTCCTGAATGGCATCGCAGCGTACCCCTTAGGCCCGTGCGATGGCGTGGCACTCCTTTCTGTCAGCTTCTTCCACAGCTCGCCTATACTTGCTCTATTGGCGGGGAGCATGCTATATTGCAAGCTGTATAAGTTGCGGCGGTGGATCGGTGGGACAAACTGCCCTGACACGAGATACAACAAGACGCTGGGCGAAAAGTAGTGCTTGCGTATGCGATCGCCGAGATCGAAATAGGGTTGGAACATCGCACGTAGTGACAACGGGATCGACTGCGTAGTGTAAGTTCACATAAATCACAAGATTGCGCAACTTAACTTACCTTCAGCAACACATAGGCCGTCGGCGGTGAGCCTATCTCGCTTGTCGTGCTAGAGGTAAGACCGGTCGTGTCTTGTAGCTCGAAACAGATTCCTCCAGGTAGTCTTCCAGGATCCTTCAGTCGTAGCATGACTGCGAAGAGCGGGAAGTGATTGAGACAGGCTAGCCCCATCTCCAGCGCAGCTTTCAATCCGATGACAGCAATACGTGCGCTCGCAAACGTCAAGTAGAAGACGAACACAGTTGGCAGTAAGAAGAACTGCAGTGTGAAAAGAATAGTGCCGAGCAATAGCTGGTCCAAGTCGTAGTCGCATGAGTCGATTCGGTTGCGGAGGATGTTGCGCTTCTTTCCACGGAAAAGGTGGAAGAGGGATATGATTATCGTAAGCTGCCAATGAAAGATGCGAGCAGACGCGACGTAAAACGAATAGATGTGCAGCGTCAGCAGCGAAACGAGGTCCGAGAAGATTGAGATGGGCATAGTGGCGCCAGCGAAAGCGGAAAAGCCAATGATCTGGATCAGCGCAGGTAGATGTGGCCGCAGGAGTGATATGCATCCCGCCCAGTAATCAATGACCCAAAGAAAAAGGTCGCCCAGGAACGCAGCCAGTTCAGTGTTCAACTTCAAGCCTCCGGGCCATCCCATAAGCCATGATATCATGCGCCGTAGACCGTCGACTGACCAGGTACTGAATATGGTATCGACCTGAGCAGCCACGAACGAAGCGTTCTCGATGATGAATGTTCCAACAGCGATGCCCATTATGACATCGTTGGCAACCAGCCACAGACTATTGTAGAACCGGATATACTCCGGATGACTGTTGGTGATGCTTTCCCAGTTTAACTTTTTCCTTCGTAAGGTGAGATACTGAATAGGCCAGTAACAAGACTGTTGTAATCGTATGTCGATCTGTTGCGCTGTTGCGGAGATGTCTTTCAGAGCTGGCGAGTCGGAAGAACCTGGCCGCCAATGTAGAAGCTGAAGGACTGCCTCTCCCATTATGCGATGGGTTATGAGCCCAAAAATGAAGAGTTGTGCGGCTACCGGCCATATCCAGACTCTGAACGCATAATGGAGGACAAGCCATATATAGTCCCAGAGATCGTTCGCAGACTCGACGACCCGCTCACTAACACTCAAGGCTCGCTTCATGCGCCTGCCTATCATGCCAATGTTCTTCTGTAATAGGGCGTTCAACTCGTGCGAACAATTCACCTGCTCGATGAGCATCGGCAACGCCAGCTCCTTTTGCGTGCGCGGGTGTGCAATCACCGTGTGCAGCTTGAGCTTCTCAACGAGATGTGCCTTCCTTCTGCGCTCCTTCTCTTCTGCTTTCTCCAGCTCTTCAAAAGCTACATCCCATTCTGCGACCCTTGTTTTGTCTCCCAATGCTAGCGTGATTGGTTTGAGCGAGAGGTATTGCATACGCGTTGGGTGTGGTCGGTCGTATACGATGACTTGCATAGCCACGAGCGGTTCGTGAGGACAATGAAGGCGCGGAAAGCGGAACGAGGGGTCGGTATGGACTACGATGAGGTCGGTATCAGGCTGCTCGACTGGGCTCTTGGGGTTGACGTAGCCCAAGGCGCGCACGGAAGAGTGTCCGCATCGTTGAAGTAGTTCCTGGACATCGTGTGGGCTGTGTCGCAGCAGGGTCCCGACAAGCAGCGCGTTCTCGACTTGACGCAGTTCGACTTCTTGAAGCACAGCTACCACAAAGACATCTGATCTCGAGTTTCTGAACCCCACCAGAACACCCGGCGCAGAGTCCTTTGGAGCGTCTGACGGCCAGAATACGCGCATCAACCCATTGTGTGTGACCATATCATCATCCTGCTACCCCGCTAGAATGAACCGCGACGTTTGAGCTGCTCGCGTGCAGAGATGCCGGTGCCTGCGAGTCGGGGATGCTGTTTGGTGCTGTTAGAAAGGACCCGAAAGTGCGATCAGGCAAATACTGACCAAGTCTGTCTCTTGTGTTGCGATGCGCACAACCGGTAGTATGAAGAGGAAGAACAGCAGGGACAGCAGACAGAAACCCTTAGCAGTCCGTGTCACCACTCCGTGATCCCAAGCAAAGATGCCTAATTCGTATACGCGCGTCACAAGATCCCAACGGGCGGTCGAGTATCCTGCGACGAAGATTCCGATAGTAAGAATGGAGAAAGCGTGCATCTACGCCGTCATGCCAAGTTGTATTCGGACAGGTTGAAGGGGGTCTGCGCGAACACTAGACTAGCATTCAGGAAGGCGCGAGTGTCTGCAATGAGCCCTGACTTTCACACTGCCAATTGACACGGGTATGGAGTAGTGCGCTTGGGAGTACATGGCGCTGGATGCATTAATGCGCGAGGCGTAGACAGACGATGATCGCGTACGTGGAAGGTCCGACTGATCGGAATTTGACGCTAAAACCGAAAGGGCCTAGCGTTCATCGCGCATTCCTCGACAACGGTGAACACCATCGCGGAGGCAAGCATCAACAACCAGACACACAAGAAAACTCACATTTGTCGACAAGCAGCTATAACACACAAGTTGCCGTGCTACTGTAGGTGCTTCATCTCGTCTCGTCAACTCTTTCTACTCTACTTTCATACTGTTTACGTTGACCGCTTAGCGCGAGTTAACGACGAGCATTCATATGCATAAGTCCAAATGGGCAGAGACGGGCAGAGGGCCGGGGATACCGAGAGTGCGCTGGAATGGGCAGAGGTAACTACAAGTAATGGATTTCAACGGCGTTTCACTGCTGTGTGAATCGCAACCACCCGGGCAAGATTTGGCGCTTTCACCTTATACAGGAAAAAAGCTGAACAGGTGTAGAGCCTACATTAACGCCGGGTCACCTATCTTGTAGGTCTTCACGTTAATGTAGGCTGCAGGCCTGTTCGGTTTTTCTTGGTTGACGTGCTTTGTTCGCGTTGGTTACTAGCGCGTCGCGTCCGTCCGCCTGAACCTTGGAACCGTCGGAGTTTCGTTCACTCCAGCCGCGACTGCCTCTTTCATTGACCTCCACAAGTTGACAACACAAGTAAAATCTCACCCTTGCTAACAAACCCCAGTCAACTGCGAACTCCAGATCTTGACCCCGGACAAGGACGCTATAACGGCAATCAAGGCGACATGGCTGTCTGTGGCTTCTACCAGCGAAATGCATGCAAATTCGGAGGTAAGGTCATCGGCTATCCCTCACAGATAACTGTCTCACGCGAAGCAGATTCCTGCAAATTCGAGCATCCTGGAAGTTCGCGAGATGCAGCTCGAGGCGGAGGCGGCTTTGGCGGAGGCTCTAACAACAACCGCTTCGGTGCTTTCAACGGCGACCGCTATCGCCCAAGTGATAACAGCGGATCTAAATCATCCACCTTCAGCTTGGACAAGGACGTTATTCAGATCGATCTCGCCAAAGAGCGGCCGATCTATCCGCTTTCATGCTACGGTCCCGGGAAAGATGCTCCGCGCCAGCTCATCGAGGGGCCTGTCGAGATCAGTCCAGAGGAGCTTCGATCCCGGTACTACACATTACGAGCGGCAGGCAATGAGCCTACAGCGGTAAGTCTGAAGTTCAGCGCTGGGTTTCTTACAACTGACGGTCCGTAGCAACAAGAAGAGGGCGCGCTGAGCGAGAAGATGCAACAGCAAGTAAAGGCGATTTTGGATGATATCACAGGTGCTATCAACTATGTCGCAGAGGGTGCCAACGTTCATCCTAATCGTATTGACATCGCCAAGGGCACCGCAGCAAGCGGATCAGCGAGCAATCCTACTGGATCGTCTAACACTGCTGCGAATCCCTTCATGAAATCATCAGCGAATCCGTTCCAGACTGCTGCAGCATCATCTCAGCCATCTGCTTCTACACCAGGATTCGGCAAACCGGCCTTCGGTCAACCCGCTCAGACAAGTTCAACATCGGCCTTCGGTGCAGCCTCTGCTTTGGGTAATCCAGGATTTGGCAAACCGGCCTTCGGTCAACCCGCTCAGACAAGTTCAACATCGGCCTTTGGCGCTGCCTCTGGTTTAGGTCAGAAACCATCACCTTTTGGCTCATCTTCAGCGTTGGGTAGTGGGAGTGCATTTGGGAAGCCTGCATTTGGTGCCTCCGGATTCGGCCAACCGTCCATGCCGGGCGCAGGAAGCGCATTCGGTCAGGCCAGCAGTATGGGCCAAGGTTCTGGTTCTGCTTTCGGCCAGCCATCAGCTCCTGGTGCAGGTAGCGCATTCGGTCAGGCCAGCAGTATGGGACAAGGTTCTGCTTTCGGCCAACCATCAGCACCGGGCGCGGCGTCGGGATTCGGCCAGGCAAACGCTCTTGGACAAAAGCCAAGCCCATTCAGCAAACCAGGTTTTGGCCAGAGTGGATTCGGGCAGACGGCTCAACCAGGTGCTAATGCCTCTCCTTTCAGCCAGCAAGCTTCGTCTGGTGCGTCGCCATTTGGCCAGCAAGCCTCGTCAGGTCCATCTCCCTTTGGTCACAAAGCACAGCAACCAAGCCAGTCTTCACCATTTGGCCAAGCAGCCCAGCAGCCGGCTCAACCAGCACCTTTTGGTCAAGCAGCCCAGCAACCAGCTCAGAATTCACCGTTTGGACAGCAAGCTCAACAGGCTCAGAAGCCGAATCCGTTCGGTCAGCCTCAGCAGCCGTCTACACAAGCACCTGCACAGGCGAACCCCTTTGGTGGTGCTGCATCATCTACCACCCCGGCCTTCGGACAACCAAGCAAGCCGTCACCTTTCGGCACCCAACAGCCTCAAAACAGCGCAACGCAGCCGGCAGCTGCCAACCCGTTCCTCAAGCCCCAAACATCTGCCGCGCCAGCAGCCTCCACGCCTTCACCCTCTCCCTTCACCACCCAGACCCAGAGCCAGCCTAGCAACCCTCCCGCCCCTGTTCAGGCTACCTCTCAGCCGGCTTCAATAGCGCAGCCTAGCTCCGCACCGCGCCCCCATGTTGAAGGTGTTACACCAGATGGCAAGCCTATCGACCCCAAGGACCGTTACAAGGAGGGCAAACCAGAAGAGTATGAGGGCGAGCAGGGTAGGATTCTAGAGGAGATCTACAAACGTGTTGCTCAGCTCGGCCGATTCAACGATGACGAAGACATACCCGTCACACCACCAAAGTGCGAGTGGATCGCGCCGCTTACGCTGTTGTGAAGCGACGATTTGAGTCGGATAGGACAAGTGGGTGCATCTGATGGTAAATGGCATGAATGGCGTTAGTTCTGGTTTCGTGAATAGATCTCACATAATGATGTGTTAAATAATAGACTAAAATGCACACGAAAGCATGTGTAGTTACACATTCGTTTCGTTGCAAGTAAGACCTTCCTAAACGGTGGAGCAGCTATCTCGAAGTTAGACAGAGATTCAGAGACGCCGCGACTCAAGTCCGCATGTGAGGTTCCGGTGCAGGATGCCTCTCGCGATATTATCATCAATTTCCAAAACACCACCATGAACAGCCTGAAATATATTTGGTAAAAGGTGTTTACTCGATGAGTACCAGCTTTCGTAATGACGGAGAAGAGTCCAATCTCGTAGTGTACATGCGTGTTCCATCCCACTGGCCCATCGTTCTGTACTGCCTGCTCCGCCCGTGCATGTCCCCATTCGGCGCGCTGCGCAGGTTCGGCCGCGTAGTCGTCGCTTGATAGGTATGTGGTGGGTGATTTATCGCTTCTTCGCATCGACTTTGTCCTCGAGGGTGCGAACGTAACCTTCTATCCGTTGGACCGCGGATTGGAGAGCCTGATTTCATTAGTCATGGTCTGCTTCACATGTATAGCCCCAATGTATTGTTCTTGCGATCGAGCTTATGCGCAAAGGATGTAGATAGAAATGACGTACGTAGATGTCCTCGGTCAAGAGCTGGTTCGATACGCGGTATTCGTCAATGACATAGTAGTACATGCCAGCGCCGGATGCGGTAGCACCGAGAAGGAAGCCAAATAACCTGTCATGTGTTAGCCATACTGATTCAGCCATGGTTGCCGTTCTAGTAGACGTCGTTCGCTGTCGCGCCTGCCTCATGGCATGTGACAGTCTCCCATGGCTATGAAGCCATCGGAACCCAGTCGGACATTGGCGAATGCAATTGCAAGATGAGCACTCACCCTCCCCTGAAAGCACCAACGGGCTTCTTCACTGGCGCAACAACAGTATCCTGCCTCAGTACGGCGCTTGTCTGGAATCCGCGGGAAGCAGCCATGGGCGCTCGAACGCCGGCGCGAGCCGCCGCCCTCAAGAATTGGTTTGCCATTGTGTCCTTTGCTATCTTTTACGTCGCTCGTATCGTATCTCAGGATCTGGTCGCGGTATGTGAGCGTGTGGGTGGAGCGTGGTGGTGGTGACGCTCGTGTGCCGGCCGTGACGTTTGTGAGCTACCTGCTCTCCGCACTACAAACAAGCAAGCTCGACTCGCCTGACCTGGACCCTTGCCTGCCTCACGCTTATGTCAGCCACCCCGCCCGCCTGGCTTTATCTGGTAGACCATGCACCGCGACTCATTCATCGCATCTCGACGCGACACAAACTTTTTGCCAAGTGTGATAACGAAAAGGAGTTGTATTAAGAAGCTCCATTTAAGTTAGCCCCTTGTGATTATCCTGAGTCACGATCACGGCTGCTACCCAACTCCATCTCCAGCATCTCTTAACCTTGGAATGTGCGAATACATCAAACACGTGCGCACGTGGCAAACCTGCGTGTGACACGAAGACATCTTGTCATAGTAATTATTGAATTAAATCGCGATGCGCGTAGGGGTATAGTAAAGTATGTACACTAGGGAAATGAGGGCCTGCTAATGGGCAGTGTCCTCGTGCAGTCCACCAACTTCATCAAATCTTTCTTCTCTACACCCAGCAGACTCATCCTGATGTAAGCCTTCGCATAGTCCAGGTTCCAGTGGACCTGGTTACCAACAAACGACTTCCACTCATCGGCGATCTTGGGATGTGTCGATAGCACCTTGTCACTTGGTAGTACGAAGACCTTCTGGTCAGCACTGCCACCAGAGGGGTTGTTGAGAGTGTCGTTGTAGAACTCGACGTCCCAGACACCGGGGGTTGTATCGAGGGGCTTGTCGACGACCTCTGGGCGGACGTCCACGAATCGTTGCTTGGCTGTTGCATGGGCGCCTACGAGTGCTGCGAGATCGTGGGGCGAGAAACCCTTGTCCTTGAAGATGGCGATCAATTTGTCGGCGTCTTGATGAACGTCAGGTAGGAGTCCTTTGGGCGCGGCCTTGGTCGCATCCTTGCGGCCAACGAATGTAAGTACGCGGGGCCCCTTCGGGCACGATATTGTTGCGTGATTGTGCGCATATTGGACGAGATCAGCGTATCCGACCTTGTACTTGAATTGTACATCTCGAAGTTTTGTGCGAATACCCTGAAGGCCATTGTTCTCTGGGCGTTCATGCTCGCCGAATTCCATGAGTAGCGATCCATCGGCACCGCCGTTGAGAGCATTCTTATCCCAAGACCCGGCATCGTGGAAGCCCATGCGGACTGCGGCACGAGCGTTGTCGTTGCATTGTTTGTCCTTGGGGTCGACAAACAGCTTGGTGAGCTCCGCAGAGACATCGTACCCTGAAATTGTTAGGCCTTCAGGAATTGAATCCGGTTATTGTAACTCACAAACGCAACATTTATCGATACTCAACAATGAGCAGGTCAACGGCTTGTTCGTCTTGGTGTTGTCGATAGGTGACTTTTTGCCAGACAGAACGTCCGCAATGAGTTGTTCAATGCCTGTGAGAACACCATTGAGTATGCCATCGATAAGGCCGGGTGCGGCATGACGTGGTTCCAATGGAGTTGATGATGCAATCGAACATAGAGCGAGGAGTGGCAATGCCAGGGATTTAGTAGGGACCAACATGGCAGCTGAGGTAAGTAACGACTGAGAAGATTCTAAACAATAAATTATGAAGACAAGCTAAGGCGAGCAACTGTGAGCTGGTGAGGAACAAAAAGACAAGGTGTTTGGAACATTCTTATATTCCGCGACAGTCTCCTAACAGCAACGGTGTACCAAGTCCTAGGCCTTCTCTTCTCGCCGACCACTGGCCCCCGGGCCGCATGGAAGCAAGACGCCGCTCAGTTGAGGCCACAGCAAGCCACATTGAGTAGAGGTATACAGCTCGGTCCCCGAAATAGTAATCTATCCCTGTAGCCCCAGGCCAAGCCAGCCGCTTGAAGGCGATGCGGTTGAGGAACACCAGCCATGCAGCTACCAGGCGATGGTCATGACAGCGATATGCAGGGCCGAGCCTAGACTAATGGTCTTTCAAGACAAGTAGATCCCGTCAGTGTAAGAATTAAGGGCGGTCTAGTAGTCGCCGCCTAGAAGAAAGGTGCCAAGCTTGCGGAGGGGCGCATTTGCGAACGGTCTAGCTGTTGCAGATTTTGTCCCTGGTTCAAAGAGTGTGAGTCGAAACACTCGCCATTCGACAAGCAAGTACAGCCCAGAGCGAGAATATCGACAGTGTAGTCACTACATCCTGCGTGTATGCCACCAATACATGACTGCGGAAGATCACCCTGCCGAAAAGCAGCATACTGCTTTGCGATTCTCCGGTGCCGCTAGCGTCGGTATCCGTTGTCCAGAATTCTACGAAGCCACGATAGCCTCGTGTTTTCTCGTGAAGGTGCATGGTGGCTTGTCCAGATCTCGCGTGTTCGCTTGGCATGTCAAAACTCAATACTCTCCGCATGGTGATCCGGGACCTGAGCCCAGCATCCGCGAAGAAGAATACGCCATCTGCCTTGCGGTCCCACATACGTAAACTCGTGCAGCGACTAAGCGGTGTATTTGTTCTTCAGCTACACAAGCTAGTACCATCAGCTGGGATTCGCTTGCATGCCCAGGTGTTGTGGCACTGGCGAGCAATGCGATTTCGAGCTGCCTTCGGGTATTGCCCCAAGAAAGCGATACAAGGGCCACTGACGCTTGCCGCTAGGGAACGGCGATGTTGGCGATTGAGGTAAATCCGGTGAGCCTTCAGTCCATCGACCGCTTGTAGAAGAGCTGAGCCAAGTGATCGACAACACTAGTGTGATCGTGCAGCCGCTGCTGTGGAGAGCCGGAGCCACAACGAGCACATGACTTTTGACCTGCTCAGCCCTGTAGCTGTAGGTGTTTAGCAGTAATCGAACACTTTCCCATGCGACTGGATTACCCTCGAAATCTGCTAGTTCAACAAAGGGTTTGTTCGTGGCAGTAATCCCAGCATCTGCCACCCTGAGCCGGTGTCCATTGCTTTTCACGACGTCAATGTTGAGAGTAGTGTTTAGAACGCGCATCGACGCGCATATAGAAGGTGTGAAGAGCGAGGGTCTTGCAGGTACTTCTGCTTACCTCGCGCGGTTCTGCTTTAATGCAGGTACCACTGCCGTACCAACGTGTTCCACGGGTAAGAAGCAAAGCTATCGATGTTAGGTGCTGCCTGACATCGTTCGGAACCAAAGTGTTGGATGATCTGACGCTCGGAGGTCTGACGCCCCTGAGATTCGATGACAGCTCAGTCCAGCAGAGGGTTGAAGAAGTTGAGGTCCAGGGTTTAAGGGTTGTTGAGCTTCATGTATTGTTCCTATCGCCTCCAGGGCTTCTGCGGCCCGCAAAAGCATGAGCCTAGACACGGTGCTTGATTGTTTGTTCGCTCCAAGCGTTAGCACAAACGTCCCCGACCCCTTATCGCCATAATACTCAACAGTGACAAACATTCCATCAGACGTCGTTATCGCATTGCTGGAGTGAGAGATGCCTTGGTGGAGCTGCGAGGCCACGGCTCTAGCGGGAATAATGGTCTTGGCGTGCGCCAATCGGAGCCCCCGATCAGCGGAGGCCTCGACGCGTCTCGCCCTTTTCGATCTTTATTCCTTCATGCATCAATACTGCGGGCAGATTCTCATCAGTGGGAGTTTCGCATCAGCCATCTGATATCGGCTGGCACCCCCTTTTCGCAACTTCGTCACTCCTACCCTGAACTCGCGACCATTATCACGTCATGCAGACAGATGTCGCGTCCGGAATCCTCTGGCAACAGTCCGCCAAAACGTCGACGGACGGTTGAAGGGTCGTGCTGGCCTTGCAAGCAAAGACGAGTCAAATGCGATCTCCAGAAGCCCACATGCCGACGATGCCTCCTTTCAGCAAACGCGGAAGACTGCAGCTACGACAAGTTACTACTCAGATGGAAGAAGCGACCTGCCAAAACGGTGCCGGAGTGTCTACCACAGCTATCCATCGAGCGCTCGCTCAATAGCATTCATCTGGCAGTCAATGAGCGAAGAGCACTGGAATACTTCAAAGCGCGTTTATGGCCACTTTTCTCAACTCTTCGTGAGCCGGTTCCACCACCAGTCGCACTTGCCCTGCGCTCTCAACCTGTCCTCCAGGCTCTATGCGTATTTGCCGAGGAGCATCGGGCGCTGCAAGAGCGCGGATCGTCCAAACAGACTCTCGAGAGGAGACGCTTGCATTGCTTGTCAGTCATCCGTGGCCAACTGAGCAGCGAGCAATCAGATGGTGCCGCGCTCTCCGCACTTCTAGTCGCGGTGCTGCTTTTGTACTTCCTCGAAGGCTATGTAAACTGCATGTCAGATGACGCTTCGACCAGTTGTCATCTCGCAGGAGCGATCGCAATCATCAACGCAATGGGCGGCTTTCGAGCAGCGTGGTCATCGTCAGACAGAATGACGAGAATGCTGCTCTCGGAACTGGCATCCACCGATCTGACAGATGCGTTGCTTCAAGACAGAAAACCTTCGTTCCCAGCCTCCATTTGGGAGACAATGGAGTCAGGATCAGTGTGGTGGGAAGTCGTCCCTGGCACTACATCACTTGGGTCTGTACTATCCACATTGGCGGAGATGAGCTTCTACCGCCACGAGCTACAAACTGGAGCCGAGGTTTGCGTCGAGAAGGCGCAGGTCTTTGAGCACGCGCTTCAGCCCACGTACTCCAAGCTAGAGTGTCCAGATGGAGACGCAGGACAAGACCTGCTAAGCCCTGTTACAACGGCATCGCTCTCACTTGTCCGTTGTTTCCAGCACGCAGGCCTCATATACCTTTACAGCGCTATTCACGACATTCCCACGAAGCACTTTCTTCTCCAACAGCATGTCCATGCGTGTCTGGAGTGTATACAAGGCATGGATACGAGATCCAAAGCACAGAACTGTGCTCTTTTCCCACTCTATGTAGCTGGCGCACATTCACTCTTGGAGGCCCATCGGGAATGTGTGATGAAGATTTTGGGGAACATACACAACAATCTGCGATTCGAGTCCGTGCTGTCTATTCGGGCAACTTTGGAGGCGCTCTGGCAACCTTCTCGTAGTCCTACTACGTGGAGCGGAAGTTTCAAGAACACTGCCATGTGTACATTGGTCATTTGAAGATATCGTTGACTCTTCGCTATTGCAGAAAATCGCAATGGTTTGGACGAAATAAATCTGAGCGTACGATCCTCTGCCACGTGCTGGACTCTTCAATACATCTACACCAGCTCCTTGCTCATATCGCGTGTCGCTTCCATCACGCCTACTCAACCAAAGCCTCCACCTCAATCTCGATTTGCATGCCTTCAATACCGAGCTTGGTAATTTCGACACATGTCCATACCGGTCGGTGATCAGGCATGACGCGTCGCCAACCCTCGATACATAGATCTGCAGACTCGTCGATGTTTGTGTGGTACGATCGAATAGCGTATACGTTCCTCCAGGACACGCTCTTCTCGACAGACTGTAGAGCCTTCTCGATGTTCTCAAGCGCTAGCTCTACTTGCTTTGCGGCGTTTGGGGCTATGTTCCCTTCCGCATCCCAGCCGCCCTGGCCGGATATACGAACGACGTCGCCAACCCTGACGGCTTGCGAGTAATGGAAAGCTTTTGACTTGGATTCAGTTCCAGCGTAGTTTCCGAACGTTATCGACATATTGAAGATCTCGATGTTGATAGTGAAATCCGGTGGAGGCGAAATGAAGAGGAAGTCGGTGACAAATGTTCTAGTCGAGAAGAATTCGGGCGAAAAAGGGTATGGCACAGTCTTGTGGACAATCGAGACTTATATGCCTATGCATCGTTTGGGCGTATTCCCGCTGTTGTGTCCGGTACTGAGTGTTCGCAACACAGATCCGCGCCATCGCACTGAAGTCAAGCCCAGACTATGACAAGAATGTTTAATCGAGAGTCCAACAACTCAAATTGCCCGGTATTTGCCTCGTTCTGGTATAGACAAGCTCGCTATCGTTGAGTTGCGCTCCTTGAAGAATGGAAGTGGAGCGTCCCCGCAATCCATATCTGACACAAGAAAACAAGCTCCCATCTCCGATATGAATGATGCCGCTGGAATCACGGAACAGCTCAACATGGAAGGTTACCAGGCCTCATTTTCGCCACGAGATATGGGACCGGGGTTTAGCGTGGCGATGCCTTGCAGTTCGAGCTATACCCAGCATGGCAAGTACAGCGGCCATTTCTTGACCCACATTTCCCTGCAAACCTATACACGCGATCCTACGCTAAGGTGTAGATAGTCGCCAATGGTGTCATTCGCCATTGTCAACGTCCATCTCACGATGATCTAGCATTTAACTGCTCTTGTCGTCTGCTTGAAGCGTCGTCGGAAGCAGCGCGCGGGGAAATACTACTACCTAATGTACATGTTATCGATCAACCCAGTTTTGACGCCTCTGGGCTTTGCGGCGTTCTTGGTTGTACTTGCGGTTGGCCTGGTATGGCGGACGCAGAAGACTTCGAGCAAAAAGCTCTCTCCATCTTACGACGTGAAGCAAAAAGGTGCAGTTGATCAAGATATCCTCAATTTGAACAGCACTGACCTCTCCAAGTCCCATCTACACCATTCAAGACACC